ACTCCCCTTCACTTACTCCATTTACCACTTTTTATTTATACTTGGGATAAAATAATGAATCCATATTTCCCTATATTTTGCCTTTTGTATGGCATGTGCAGGTTGAAGCACTTTCAGACTCAAGGATACTTGTATGATTTGTCACATTTTCATTCTCTTTCCTGTAATAACAACTACTTGGGTTAACTGTCCTTTTTGTACCAAGTGTCTAAGGAAATGGTCATGTAGCAAAACTAGGTGGTGGAAGGGGTATATTAACATCGGAAACTTTTTAGTATTATCAGTGTCGACTTGCCTGTAAGATGCCCTTTACTCTCAGGATTTTCATTTCTTAAGCACCTGTGAAAGGAATTTCACATTGTGTGTTTCTTCTAAACCCTCCTGTCTTCCCAATTCTGATTTCTTCTGTCTTGATAAAGGTACCTCTCTGTGTCTCATCTGTACTTGGTCTTTCAGAGCTGTACTCCTCTATTATTCTTATCGCTTTCACTAGGTACATTAGCAGTAACCATTAAAGTTATACATTTCTAGAGCATTTTAAGGAATTTTTGCAACTTATTGTGTTTCAGTATAGTCTCATGGTGTTTTTCTGTCATTTGGAATGGACCCCGACATTTCTTGTTGGTGGTGTCTGTTGCAAATTGCCTGGTAGTATGCTGACATTAGTTTCCTGTATCCTGTTGGACCCTGTGTACGCAAACATTTTTATGAGACTTGAAAGTCTCTGAGTTTGTGCAGAAACTTTTGTTAGCATCCCTCTTCAGGCCATTGTATAGCAACTGGCATATTTGTTTGCCTGGAAAGGTTTGCAAGAACTTCGGGTGTAGCCGTCAATAGGAGACTGGCTTAGCCTGAGCAAAGTCTCCATGAAAGGTTCTTACTATCTCAGCTTTAAAACAAATAAAACTGTCATCAAATCGGTTGATGCTGTTTTAAGGAGTTTGTTAATGCAGAGGACATGGTTTAAGACACATTCTTAGACTCATGTAAAGTAGGACATAAATGTACATTAACACAAGTTGATTGATACTTTCGAGCCAGTGTTTGTGTTAACCATTCAGTCAGTATTGGTACCGTTATACCTAGATGTGAATTTGATTTTATCTTGGTGTCTGTTGGAATTTTAAATATTGTACTTAGTTGGGTGAACAGATTGAATGATGGACACATTTTAGTTTTTATTTGTTAATATTAATGTTCTTATGATCATTCAGAATTTTGCATCTTGTGATTTTTAAGACACTCCAAATATTTGGGTGGTTGGTGCGTATTATAAGTTCGGATGAAGTTATAAGGAACCAAAGTCATCATTAAGTAAGTAAACTTACTTCTGCCAGAGTTTTATTTTAGGGAAGAATATCTTTGGAATTTGTGAAATGCACTAGTATCTAATCAATACCATATTCAAACATCCACCTTTGTATGTGTATGCATGTTAGCATTCATACAGGGTTGCCCAAACGTGTACACAAATTTGACGAATTAAATAAGTACATTTTAACGAACTAAATCATTACATATATCAGTATTGACATTTATTGAAGTAGTGAATATAGTGTTGGTGTTCAAAGTTACCACAACTAATTTTTGTGGGACAGTTGATAGCAGTCAGCAACTGGCTTACAAGCAGCCACCAAAGTTGCTGCTGGGTTTAGTACTGTATATGTCTTTTTGGGACATCTGCATTATTACATTAAGTAAACCCCCCCCCCCAGCATATTAAAATTATTTTTATAATTTATGGAGTACGTATTGGTAAAACCAGAGAAGTGTATAGGATTTGAGGTTTTCATGGCAGTGAGTCTGAAGATTGCTGTCTTCTCGGATGTTGCACCATGTAGTCTGGTACATGTCCACCAATGTTTCACAGGTCCGTCATTGCCCTGATGATGGAGGCAGCATGGACCTCTGAAGTGTTGGTGGACATCTACCAGACTACATGGCACAACAGCCCAGAAGACAGCAATCTTCAGAAAAGTGTAGCTTGCAAATGTTATACATGTGTTTAGGAATGCAAGAGATGTTACTTACTGGTATCTTAAATTGGAATTTAATTAGTTGGTGGGCAGAAGAAAAAACATGAGCAGAGTATTGAATATTTTTGGGCATATAAAACCCTGTTTATTTCATTAGTGAATGTCAACATTGGAAAACTGAGTTGCAGACAGTAATAAGGATGTTCTGCAGCAGTGGATCTGTATCTTGGGGTGTGCCATAGCTCAGGCAGCTAGCTGTCAGCTTCTGACTGAGGAGGCTAGGTTCATGCCCATGCAGTCCATGTGGGATTTGTGGTAGAAAAAGGTGGCATTGTAACAGGTTTTTGTCAGAGTTTTCCATGGTCATCACATTGTAAGTGGCATGTTGGCTGCATTTTAATTTGATTGTGTATTGTGCTGCATATCATTGATTACAGGCATCACTTAGAACTCTTTTTAATTTGTCAAAAGGAAGACGATAAAACTTCAAGCTCCATAAAGAAGAAATCTTGTTCTTTATTCAAACAAGAATGGTATTCCAAAATCAATCCCATCATTAGAGCATAGGCGGAAGGAAACTAAGGTGCCATTTGAAGCAAAAAGTGCACATAGGTCCCATCCATTAAGTTACAAAACGTAGAAACTGATGGAATTTGTATGAAATCTTTCAGTGGGTTGAAGTTTACAATTGTTAGTTCCGCAGAACTGGGAAAACATGTTCTTTTAATGTGCTACTTAAGAATCTAATTCTAAACTCTTGTCAGCAGCCAGATGGACAAAGATCTTTGGGGATATGAAATAGAAGCATGAAAGTATAAAAGCAGACCGCACAACCAGGAAACAAAAGGCACTTACCACTGAACATGAAGCAAGAGGAGTGTGAAGCCTGAAATATGTTTCGTGGCTTGCACTGACTGACAAAGTAGCAAGTGTATGTTGTATCAATGTCATGGGCCGACACAGGTCTCACAGCTTTGATACTAACATTAACAGTGAAAGGGAGGTGTGGAGTTCAGAGGTGTGTACAGTCCCGGTAACACAACTTTCGGATTTGGTCTGGGGCGAAATGATAGCAATCGTTGTAGAATATTTCATGCCATTTGTCTTTTGTAAAGAAAAAGTTATTCATAGTTGCGCCCATCTTATGCTTGTGACATCATTAGGCATTTTAAATTATTGCTCTGTGCTAATAAAATTTTCCTCTTTCCCACCTCTCCCCCTTCCACCTAATAAGATATGAGTTCCAGTTGAAAGCCTTGGATGTTTTTCTTCTGCACAGAATAAGGAAATTATTGTTGACAGTGTTCCCTTAATGCATTTTGTTCTCTGTAAGGCTCTTCTATTTCCATTGCCGCCCATTCCTGTGTCACTCATCACTGATTAGTTTTTATGTTAATAGGCCTCAAAAGTATTAGTAACATTTGAAATAAGATAAAATAAATTTCTTCATTCGATAAATTCTTTCTGAGAACATAACCCATGTTGCAGTGGAAACAGTTTCCGTCTTCTTTGCCTGGTTAAAGAAGTGATTTCATAAACTCCAGCTCTTTTTACAGAAACCTGACATGGTTTATCACCAGCAAAGAATTTGTTGAATTGTGATCTTTGAAATGATTGCAAAATTTCTTAGATAGGTATTGTGGGAACATTCTTTAGTTAATGTTGGATATTAAATATATTTTTGCTGTGGATAATATTGGCCCACTTGGCTGATAACTATCTAAGAGTCTACTGTTATCTAGATTACATCTCACACAGAACTGAGTATGGGATTCTAGTTTGTAATCCCTGGTGTTATGATGGAGGAAACTCGGTTGTAGGAAAAATTGTTTTGCTTATTTCGTTGATTGGCTGTTTAATTTCAGTGCCAGCTTCATTTCATGTTTGATTGAAAGATAAGTTTCAACAAGTGTGTGTGTGCACATGTTCATCTATACTTCAGTTGGTTTATCTAAACAGATCTGGGACATTTAGATAGTGTTCTCAGATCAGGAGACTGATTTACAGCGAGAGCCATGGGGTGTTACGTAGAGATAGCATGTTCCACCAGAATTTTTCTGTATAACCATAAGATTACATGGCAAAAGAACCCAAATGACTTCTATCTAAACCAGGAGTTCTCAGATTTTGGGGCATGGCCACATCCAACCTTATTTATTTGTGGGCTGCAAGGTTATAAATGGAAACAGTTTATAGATACAAATTCAACTGAAATGGTCTTACTATGCAGTAACTTTGTTTAACAGAAGTAATTATTTGTCAGTTATCAGATTGCTTTTACTTGAGTATTAAGTTCAGTTTATATTGCAATGTGCATATGAATTTAAGACAGGTAACAGATGGTTGGGGGGGGGGGTTGATTGATGTTGCGTTGAATTTGCAAAGAGCAGTAATTATACATAATTGACTCATCCTTGCATTTATTTACTTTCAGTTCTTGACATGATTGTGCTTCATTTCTAAAGTTATGTATAATTTTCCAGATGTTGGTTACTGCTGGAGTCACCTAAATAGGAATCTTCTACCTGCCATTTTCGTAAGTTTTTAGAAGATAAATGTAACATTTCATTATACATAGTGGAGTGGAAATATTATGATTCATTTCAATTCTTTCTTTCAGTAACACGTTTTGTTACATTTTATATTTTTCTCTTTGTTTACCTTCCCTCACACTGAGGATTTGAGAAGGATTTGCATGTTTCTAAATGATTGGTTCCTTGAGCCACAGTGATATTTCAGCCTTATTTTCTTCAAATGGAGATAATTTGAAGTTGAATTGATTTCTAACTCGAGCCATTTTATCCTTTGGAGAGGAAACCTGATTGTTTACGAAATGTAAAATGTGACATACAGTACTTTGAAATGGGAAGATGTGGATAATTCAGAAGTGGATTAATTTCTGACTGAAAGTAGTACATTCTTGTTAATTACAAATTGTATACAGAAAGCTACACACATGTAAAGAGAATGAAATTAACCTTTATTAAAGCTTTAAAGTGTGTTTTTGCACGCATGTTACTGCAGAGGCTGTAAATTGTAAAGGTATCTTTTGATTACTGTTGTGTTACTATGGATTATTTTTGTCATACTATAAATGTCAACTCTCTATAGCAGTAGTATTCAACATTTTTTGTTTGCGTACCCCCAGATATAATTTCTCTTCAACTTTGTACCCCCAAAGTTAGTGTATAATTCAAGTTATACTTAGTATTAAAAAAAAATCCGTGGCGTAACAGCTCCAGAGAGCCAAAGCCGACTAGCTTGACTGCTGGCCTCACGTTCACATGCCTAAGCAGAGGTGAACGATCATCCAACCAGATATAGGGTGACGTGTGGTCAGCACGACGAACCCCCAGCCATTGCTAGCTTTCCTGACCGGATTACGCTACTCATTGTAGCTCCCCAATTTCCTCACGATGCTGGGTTGGCACCGGTCCCATACACTGGTCGAAAGCTCATGAGAAAATTTCTTCTCCCCCGAGACTAGAACCAGCGTGCATTTTGTATCGCTGGTCCGAAGCATGATGCCTCAGACCGCACGGCTACGGGGCGGGGACATAGTATATAATCTACATCTAAAATAAATTTAATAAATTATATTACTGATTATTCAGTGTTTATCATAAAATAATATTTTTTTTAAAATTTCACATACCCCCTAAGATGTCTTCGCGTACCCGAGGTTGAATACCACTGCTCTATAGCACATTACTTATCATCAGAGGGTGAGAATTTTGGATAGAGGTTTCTCTTTGTTACAAGCATCCAAAGTTGAAGGGTGGAAGCATCAGAGTCAGTTTTATGTTACAAGAGGCAACAGATGAGTATATATCATCAAGGGCTTAAGCATGGGTTTTATCATGCCCATCTGAGTTAGAAACCAGTAAACTAGATTGTTTTCATCTGAGTTTCATTGTCACAGGAAGCTGGTAATCTGGCTGCATGTACTGGGTGTCTTCACCTGTAGCCATACATCAGAGGAAGCTGCCTGGACGAAGTGTGCCTGCATGCCAGGTGTGGGTGATACCACCCATCTGATCCTGTACAGGAGTAAGTGAATAAAGAAATAAAATAATGAATACTTTGACTGGTAAGTATGATCATATTTGAAGGAGGGGGGGGGCATAAGTATGTTTGTCACTAGGAGTAAATGAGGATGTTATGCTGTATGTTTTTGTGAAGTGTTACCTCAGTTCAAAAGCCACTGATTCCAAGCACAGAGAACCTGAGTTGTGTGTCGTGTTCCATCAGCACATATACTACTTTGTTGATAAGTCATGTTGGCATGCAACCCTCTTTTCCTTGCACACACATTGTTCATCACCTGGCTTCCTTCTAGGGACATGTAAGTCACACACAGTACATAAGTAGGATTAGTCATTATTCACATGCAATAAGGTTTCTGTCTAGTAATGCATCAGTTCATGGAGTATTTGTAGTATTGGTTCCTGTCAATGAGTGTTTTTTTCCTTTTACTGGATTTAATTTGGTTCTTGGCCACACTCACTGATACCTGCCAGGAATGGTATCGTATGCAATATTAGATACATATGAAAGCATTCATAAGCACTATTTCTAAAACTACAAAGTGTGCTCCTGTTTTACCACTTTGATTTCTTACTACAGTTGTACTGTGACAGATTTGGCTGTCAACAATTTGATAGTTGCAATCCTTGATAATGGTGGGTACCTGCACTTCCAACTTTCTGAGTTCATATGAAAGTAAGGCCTCTTACAGGTGTTACACTTCTTTCTTCACATTGTCATTCTACTACTCATGAGATACTGTGGTTTAAATAGAAGCTGTCAGAGAGTGCACTGCCAGTTAAAGCAACATCGAGCAACACAAAAACCTCTCGCACTGCCTGATTGAGCTTGAGACATCATCATATGAATGACTGGTGGTTGTTGTTTTGTTTTTGTCCGCCCCCCAATTGACTATAATTACACATTATTTTCTTTGTATTGAAACTTGTTAGCACTATAATAATTCACATAATTTTATTAAAATCAAATTATTATTGTTGTATTTATTGGTAACATTACTTTTAAATTACACATGCCAACTTAAAATCTGATACAAAGCATTTTCATTAGTTTATCTCACTCCAGCACATTAGAAATAGTCTGTAAGTGTATCACAGATGGCATTAGGTTTATTTGCATTGTTGTGTTGCATTGTAGATCTTCTAACCCTTCAATACTCGGTATCCTGAAATTAGAAATAATCCCACTCACACAAAATTATGCACTATTACACATGGCCGTGTCAGTGGCCGCACAGTCTGAGGCGTGGACCTTGTGCCACTTGGTCACTGGGACCGTGGGTTCAAATCCCACTCAAGGCATGGATGTTTGTCTGCATTTTTATGTGTTGTGCTGTCCTGTGTACAAAGTAGAGGCCATGCAACGGGCCAATCCTTCCTCCAAGGAGTCCTACCAAATGTCTAGATCAAAACCAACAAAAAAGTTGGAACCCGCAGTGCTCAGGCACTTGAAGAACGGGTCGTCAAAGTATCAAAGTAAAGTATTGCGTATGACTCCACAGTATATTCTGCAAATTCCAAAGACATGTAATGGTCATTGGAAAACTTTCCATTTGTACATTAGTATTCTGAATGAACATTCAGGATTGCATCAAGCCCTCCAAATAAAATTAATATTGTTTGCCTCATTAGGTTTTTTGCTCTGCATGGCTGCATTATGTGGTGTGTTGGACTAGATGTTTTATCAGCAATGATAACGTCATATAACTTGGGTGCTGTGTCAGGTAACTGTACTGAGTCATGAATGTAAAGCTTGTTTGAGGTAGCGTTGCCCACAAGGTTGAATTTCTTGACATTGATGAATTGAAACTTTTTCTGACTGTGCCAGTGTTGACTGCAGTTAAGTGGTAATTAGCATTTGATAGTGCTAACACCACAGCAAAGAAACGTTTGTAATGTAGTGATCCACTGTTCCTCCATAATTAGCATGTTTCCTGCCTAATGCTTTGTGCAGTTGGAAAAATTTGCATGCTTGTTCAATTCATCTGCAATATATCATTTTCTTTGCTTGGTGTGGGAATTCAGCCCTCTTTCAGGAGGTTTCAGACTTTTGTGTGCATCTTGAATAATTTCACATAAAGTGGAAACTCCTTTTCTATAATTATATTCCAATTCTGATGATGAACAACCCAAAGCAAGGTACCTGGGAAAAAATTGAAGTTCATTTGTTGGTCATTTAACAATAATAATTTCAGGGTTTAAGTTTCAGTGAAGGTGGAAGGGAATCAGGAGTTCTTTTTCTAAAGAACTACAAAAGAGGAAATCTGTTTGGTCGAGATTAACAACAAGGAAAATATATGTGTACATGATCAGCCTTTCTTCTTATTAACTGTTGTTACTACTGAAAGGTAAGCCTGTAATAAATACTATTACTGCTACATGTGCGTGTGCACATGTGTGTAATATAGGGCCTGTGTATTTATATATTTCTATGTTCGTGACTTTTTCTTAAAAAAAGCTATTCCAGTACAACCCTCAATATAAAGGAGGATCAAGATGCAGCACCAGAAGTTTATGATGCATTGACAACTTTTGAAGGACAGAACAATGCACACTTTCCCACCGGTGATGCCCATTAGTCCTCAGTATCAAAATGACAGACCAAAAATGTGCAGTCCTCTTTGAGATGGTGTTATGTCCTTACCCAGAGCATCCAACAAAGAACAACCTTGGCTGATGAAGATGGTGAAGTTAGTACCCACAGAATACAAGTTGGATGCCAAAATGAAGACAATTTCTGCCTTGAAAGAATATTATTATAGGCCTCTACACTCCAGCCCTTTCCATATCCTGCTTCTGCTAACTACCTTCCATTCCATAGACATCCCAAATTTGAACTTACTCATTCTATACACCATAGAGATGCAAAATATATAAATCATTCAGATGATGGAGTGTATACTCTATACATATGGTCCACAGTGATCGTTCTGATTATTGTCAGTTCAAAAATACAAATCCAGCATTTGCGTGGTTTAAATATACTCATTCGTAATTTTATTTCTATGTTTTTCTTCATCGCTTATTGGTATTTGCCTAAAAATTTTGTGAAATGTGTATGTTTTGTATGATAATTCACGTTCAGTTGTGTAAATTGTGTATTCCAGCTCGTGCCTACATCCAAAAAGAGGTTTTGCTCATTTTGTGATTTTCTCAGGTGTAACTGATATATGTTTATTCATTTTATGATTTCCATGTTGGTGAAGATGATTTTCTAACTTGCTGTTTAATTTGTTTAATGACCTAGATGGAATTCTGCAATAATTGAAGAATTAACCTCTTCTAAGAAATCATCAAAGTGTTCTCAAGTACTGAGCATCAGGTGCACCCACATGCTTCGGTTTTGTTTTCTTATTTTATCTTTTGCAAATAGGCCACCAAACAGCAAATAGTTCCTCTGGTTCCAGCTTTGCAGTTACAATGCACTTCCTGCAAGTGAAAACTCCTGTCCATAAAATAGAGTGGCCAGTGGATGGGTCCAAGGTGCACATGTCTATTATTGTGTCCCAGGTTGTAAGAGTTGAGCTGTCCTTGGTGGAGTAGTGGCTACTAGAAGAATAAGCTTGAACAGTGAGTCACAGAATGTTACAAAATATATGGCATAAGATAGCTTGAAATTTTATGAACTAATCATAAGATTGATAACACCTAATGGTAATGATCCTTTGTAATAAATTGTATCAACCACAACCCTGATTCTAGTGACATAAGAAAACCACATACAACATATGATACAGATCTTTGGTAAAAAAGGGGTCTGTTTAAATTTTAATTAGTAAGGTTATGTATTATAAATTGAAAATAAAATTCTAATTTGTATATGCCTTTGTAGAGTGTAGAACAATGTACATTCAACACCATATTCATTTCTGAAAATTTGTAGGTATTGGGGCATAAAACTGAAGGTCACCTAGGGCACCAAATGCTCTTATGTGTGCTTAGTCTTACATTCAAAACTATGCAATCTCCAGCCAGTGTACGTGATATTGTAATATAAGTCCAATTTTTAATTTATTTTAAAGAGATTGTATTGATGTTTGAGTGGAGCGGGTGGTAATGTAAAATGTAGAGAATACAATAAAGCTTTTAATTAAGTAATTATAATATATTTCAGGTTTGTTATAGAAGCATAACCCATTTGTTACAAAAGTGGTGTGTGGCCGGCCTTGAATTTAATATCCGTTTGACCTGCCTGTGAATGTGTTTTTGGTTCATGCTGTAGACGAAAAATTGGTTGGATGTTGTGGGTAGATGGCAGCGCTGACAGCAATCTTATGGTCATGATGTCACCCCAGGAAAAGTTTTTATTTGTTGCTGTTTTACATGGAATTTTTCCGGATAGTTCCAAGGGACGACAAGTACATGCAAAGGATTATCCATTTGACATTGGTACCAACAGTTCCAAAAAGCTTGCATTATTCAACAGGATGGTCAGAAGTGTTTCGGTTCATTATCTAAACCAGTGGTATTCAACCTGCGGTACATGAAATTTAAAAAAAAAAAATTTTATGATAAACACTGAATAATCAGTGATGTAATTTATTTCAGATGTAGATTATATACTATGTATAACTTGAATTATACACCAACAACTTTGGGGTACGCGAACAAAAAATGGTTGAATACCACTGATCTAAACCAAAGATAAACTACAACCCACACATCAACTAGGTTAACGATAAGTCAAATGGGTAAATTTAGTGACCGGTTAAGTCGATGTAGACAAACATGGTCGACGAGGTTACTGCACAAGTGATGAAAGCCGTCAAATCTGCAGACTTAAGGGTATTGAACCCACATGACAGCATGTTAGCGGCAGCACTAGGGTAAACCGAATGTTATAGAATGGCTATTCATCGGTTTTTTGTGCCACGGTATGCACTGTTGTAGGTCAATTGGTAGGATCGCTCACGTGGCTTCCACAGAGTCCTGATTTTACACCCATTGAATTCTTTTTATTTCTGGGGACTTTTGAAAGACGTCTAGTCAGGTAACGTGCAGTTTCTTGCCCACTTACGATAACGGATTTCAGGGCCTATTGCTCTTGTACCTCTGATTATGCTGGAGTGGAATAGCATTATGCCGTTTTTGCAGGTCAGTCAGCGGTGCTACATACATACATCTTTATTACATTCCAAGGATCCATAAGTTAGTCAGATGACAATAGGATGTAGAATAAGTCATAATAATACAATACATGTTATACAAATACAAGTCATACTAGGTTCCATGACAAAACCGCACAGAAAGAAGCTCACTGTCATGAATGCTCACACGAAAATTACTCACACAGACAAATGCTCACATGGACGAATGTCCATATTCACAATATTATAAGTAATCGGAAGCGTTAACTGGTTACCGTAGTAAACCGACGTTTATGAAGCTGATTTTTATTCCTTGTGTTGACTGGGTGTATAGCAGAATTAGTTTGAAAGAGTTCTTGGTTATTTACAATAAAGTTCATTAATGAGAATATGTATTCACATGGAAGAGGTAAGATTTCTAATCTCTTAAATAGACTTCTACATGAATTCCTAGGTTTTACACCAGCCAATAGTCTAACAATTTTCTTTTGTAAAGTGAATATCTTTTTGATGTTTGATGAATTTCCCCCAAAAATTATTCCATATTTCATTAAAGAGTGAAAATAGGCAAAATATACTGATCTGAGTGTGTCAGTGTTGCTGACATGCAACAGAGATCTAACTGCGTAACATGCGCCACTTAACTTAGGTATCAGTTTATCAATATGATTAGTCCAATTTAGGTGATTATCAATTT